AATATTATTATATATTATAAATCTATATGTAAATGCATACCCTATTTAATGCATAGGGTAATATTTTATATATAAATAAATAAATAAATAAATCTATAACTGTCATATTATTAATTTTTTATTACTTTCTTTACATCAAGTAGTAAAACAATTACAACAATATTTATAACTCATAATTTTATTGTTGAGGATAAACATCAAGCCCAACATAAATAATAATTTGATTCATAATCATATAATTTCAAATAAAAGAAAATGAATAATTAATAATTGTATATAATAATTATATAATAAATAATAAATAATAAATAAATATATATTATTATACTATTATTATATATTAAATATATATTAAATATATATAAAATGCTACCTATTTCATGCATAGGGTAGCATTTTATATATATATATATATATTTATAATTGGAGTATTTGGATCGGTTATTTTTAGTATTTTTTAATAATGTATTAATACAACATAAGAGTTTGTTAATGGAAATTATATATGTTAAATTTTTAAATTTTAAATAAATTTTTATAAACATTAAGATTAATTTCTTTTAATAATTTTTTTTATGGTCCAAATAAAACTTTAATTAATTAAAAATACAAGGGTACTCCCTCATCTACAACAAGATTACAAACCAAGTGATTCGCGCGTCCTTCCCCATTTTAAAGTTAGTATTTCTGTTCAAAAAAAAAAAAAAAGTTAGTATTTTAAATTTCCAAAAAAGTCCTTACGCGGGATTCATAATTTCATATCCAAAAGACTTTGAAGAATCGGACGCGCCCCTTCAGTTCTACTCGTTCCCCCTCCGTCCCACGGTCCGGTCTCCTCCTCTACCTCTTTTCCTCTCCTTCAGTCCATCTTTTCTTTAGTCCCTCCTCCTCCGCCTCTTTTTTTCTACTTATTAAGTGGAAAAGTTTTATTTCGAATATTTAATAAAAAAATATATAAATTAAATAATTTTTTTTAATTTGTGTCTTTAAAACACATGTTAAAAGTTTTGACAAAATAAAAAATAACATTTAATTTATTAATTATCTAATTAAATTTATTTACGTGACATAAACTTTAAAATAAATGTCTACTTTTATATTTTTTATACAAATTTATTATAAAAAGATACCCTTATGGCACAAGTTAAAAAAATTCAATTAAATATAAAAAAAAATTATTTATCTATTATCAAATAATTTTAAATTAAATGTAAATTTTATATTAAAACTTAATTATATGTATAATTTTCACATTACTACACATAACTCAAAATCCAGATTTGGGTTCTACTATTTATGTTTTTGCATATATGGATGCTTTACTGGGTTCAATGCAAAGAAGTTAAAACCATAC